TTCCCAACGTCCTTGAGATTGAAAAAATAATAGGTTGCAACCACCCCCCGTGTGATAAAAAAACAAAAACAAATGCATGATATTCAAGCATAATATCTACATTCTGTTTTTCATGGTCTTTGTTTTCGTAATCTTGTCTTTATTTTTCAGTGTTAAAAAGCGCTCACATAGTCTGAAGATTAGGTGCTATTATAAGTAAACATTATTATTATTATTATTATTATTATTATTATTATTATTATTATTATTATTATTATTATTATTATTATTTTCATAAATGGGTAACGATTTAATTCTGAATTTATGAAAATATTAAATAAGCAGTATATTATTCAAATGGTTTAAAAAATTCAGTATTAAATCATTACCCATTTGGGATTCTTCCTATCACGTAATTTTCATAATAATGGAAATATGAGGCGAACAAAAAATAATTTCTTGACAATATGGAGTTTGGTCAGAGCAACAATACTCAACATTCAATCTCTTGGATATTCATGTTAAATAGGCTGTACATGGTAGAAGGATCTTCTGGAGTACATTGGACATATACATAGGCTGTACAAGGCACAAGGATCCTCTGGAATACATTGGACATATTCATAGGCTGTACATGGTAGAAGGATCCTCTGGAGTACATTGGACATATTCATAGGCTGTACAAGGCACAAGGATCCTCTGGAGTACATTGGACATATTCATAGGCTGTACAAGGCACAAGGATCCTGTGGAGTACATTGGACATATTCATAGGCTGTACAAGGCACAAGGATCCTGTGGAGTACATTGGACATATTCATATGCTGTACAAGGCACAAGGATCCTATGGAGTACATTGGACATATTCATAGGCTGTACAAGGCACAAGGATTCTCTGGGGTACATTGGACATATTCAGAAAGACGTAACCTTTTCTCTTAAGTTCTCTTCGAGCAATCTTTTCGATAAATGGCTGCTTGAAAGCTTATAGTAATAGTCGAAGCAGAAATGGTATAAAAGGTAGGGTAAAGAATATTTTCAAACGATCTCAACCAATCAGCAAAGAGAATACCGCACAAGAATTTAACGGACTTATTTGTACCAATCAGAATCATAAAAGTGATCTTTTAGCATGTTTTCATATCAAAAATATGAAATTGCACATACTGTATATATCGATAGTATGATGATTATGTTTATCACATAGTCGGTACAGTTTTCATTTAGTATGTGCAGTTTTATATTTTTCATATTACCACACGTTAAATATCACTTATATGATTCTGATTGGTCAAAAAAAGGCCATGAACTTATTGTGTAGTATATGCTTTACTACAGTGCAAGTCCGACTCAAAACGAGATTTGCTTACGTTTTCTGTACAATTGAATGCTCCTGATCAAATATTGTAAATATCTGGTCACAAATACATTACAGTAAATATGCTTTTTTCTGTATCCAGTAATCTTCTTTTTACAAAATATTACAACAATGTAATGTTAAGTTGTGATGTAGAATTTCATAGTCAACTCCGGCACTATGTTGTGTATGCCAACTTAAACCTTTACTATGCACTGTATCAAAGAATGACATCATATGCATTGGACATTATGTGTTGAAAAGTGATTTTGTCTTTGTAAAGTGTTCTGTTTATTTGGATGGACGTTTATTCTTTGATTTAAAGTTAGCAACAATATATAATCTAGTTTTACTATTTCCACTTTTTTGGGACTATTTCTACGCACCACAAGTAAAAGGTGCAAGGACTGTCTACATGAACGAAATTGTTCATTCATCTCTCTATCTAAATAATTTCTATTACAGTAAAAACTGTGATAAAAGTAATTTCATGTGGGTAATAATTTAACATTAAATTATGAAAATCGTTATATAATGTCCAGCGTTTGCTCGCCATGGCTTGTTTAATAAATTTAGTATTAAATCATTGCCCAACTGAGATCCTCTATTTATGTAATACGTGCAATAACACCCCATAAAATCACAAATTAAATCATAACCTCGTGCAAAGGAAAAGCATAAATACAGAAGAACTCAAATTAAATTTACACAATATTTTGTGCTTTGGTTAAATAAAGTCATTAGCTCTCATCATGCTATGATTAGAACCTTCATTTGCACTGATTTGAAATGAAATTTACGTTACTCCTCGAATGATTTCAATATTTTGCTCATTGAGGCTGACAAAATATAGAAATTATTCAAATCGTTAGAAAAATTTCATTTGAAATTAGATCGCATATAGGATTCTCTGTTTATTTTTCAAACCTAAGTAAATATAAATTTGACCTTTACCCTCTCCAAAGCAAACTAAATATACACTTAACCAGTGCACTCTGCAAAACGAGTTCAGACAGCAGAGAACTTGTTTTTGCTAATAATTTAACCCTTTGCATATTAGAATATTATTGTTGATATATGTATCTGACAAATGTCTAATAAATCAAAATGCTACTTGTCAACCTTATTTCACAGTTACGTAATGTTTCTCTATTTCAAAAGAATTGCTATAATGTAAAATAGCATGTATGACAAAACAGGATCAATAAGCTAAATTGTTTTTTTTACATCTTTGTTTTTGCCTTTTTTTCATTTGATGACGTTCTTTGCAGAATAATATTATTCTGTTCAAGTAGTTCATTGTTTCCATAATCAATTGCATGAGGAAATGCGTTTTTGTTTCAAAAGAAATTCGTTATTTCCAACAGACAACATTTCTCAAACATGTTTCAATGACAGGTAGTCATATGTTATCTACCTAGCGAGTTTGGTTTATGTTTCTCTAGAATAATCAAAAATACATTCTGTGTGTCTGTCGCCTGCTTAATATGCAGTTTAGCATTATTACTATCTATTCAAATTAAAATAAATTTGTAACCATTCGTTGCAATGTTAATGATAATAAGCATGTTCCCACAGATGCTGTGTTATCAATGTTTTCTCTTTGTCTGGTCTGTAAACGTAACGACATGACCCAGGACATCGCCATTTTTAAACAGTTTTCAGATCGTTCGTTGTTCGTAATTCATCTTTTGCACTAGAGAAGACTCCATTTTTTGTCTTTGGCATTAATTATATTTAATTGTCAGTATTCGTTATCTGGTGAGGCTTATTGTCGATTAAATAATGCCTTGACATTAAAATATGAATTTATATCTAAAATTTGTTTGACTTTATAACATCTTCTGTCCTCAAATAGATTTATTTATTGCATTTAGCCCTTGCTGGTATCAACACATTTGTTAAACTTCTGAATCGCAAAGCTGGGTTATTGAAGTGTACAAGTAACATTATCTGGGATATGGATAAAGGCCTGGTGTATTAAGTTTATCTACTTTATCAAATTGACGAAGTATACATATTAGTCATCCGACAACAGACAAACTATTTCATAAAGTAAATAAGAATAATGTTCATACAATTCACATCAGTTAATCTTTCTATTTTGTCTAAAATCACATTCATCAAGTTCAAACCACGAGTCATTTGGCAGTCGAACACAAAATTCTCAAAAGTCATCAACACTTTACACTACTGCAGTCGTTGAAATATCACAACAATCTCTCATCTTTAAAATTATATTTTATATTGCCGCTTTTAATACGGCAGTTATAATTGAATGTTAAAATTGTAAAGTTTATATGTTTTCGACTTTCTTCTTAAACCATTCAAATATGAAAAATATGCACGAAAAGTATCCGAGGAGAAATGTGGTAAAATATTATAAGAAAATGTTAAAGTGAGGAATTTCATCCAATGATGTGGCACATTTTTATATTTTTTTCAGCAATGTTGACCTTATTGGAATCCTTTGCAGTAATTATTTTGCCAATCCGATCGTGTTTACATCTCGTGTTTACATCACGTATTTGTGTTATTATTTGATAACTATACGAATTTCCACTCGAACTGGTTGCTATTTCTACATCATTGACCCTTTTTTTGTTGCCATATGCAGGTTCCGATTATCATATTACAAGGAAGTCTCCATGGCATCTTTACCAGTTCATTGGCCAATGAGTAGTAACTACCAAAAACGAATGAAAAGATTTCTCCCATTTCTGGAATTGATTTGAAATATTGTCAAATACAATCGGACGGTTACTAACAATTAAAAATGTTGGTCATTCTACTGTTCTATAGCATCTTGACGAAGCAGGCAAATAGAAAAAAAAATGAGAAACGAAATGTCAGAAGTCACTCTAAATGAAATAAATAGTTTCGGACACGTGAAACAAACTAAGAAACGTACACACGGCAAAAAAGTATGTAAAAATTAAAATGGAGGAAAGAAAGAATAAGTTAAAGGATCAAACATACAAATAAAATAAATTTTGATGTTGTAATGTTGTCGAATGTTTGTGTTAAATAAGGTAACAAATTCACCTTTGAAATAATAGTCATAGTTAAACAACTGTATCTCAAATTAAGACAACAGCGTTACACATTAAGTAAACCATGTCAGATTAAAACATAATATCCATACATTTTTCAAAGTGACTTTTGTCGTAAAGACACCACGATGATATTTGCAGTATCAGTGTGATCTTATCATTGAGACACACCATTAACTTGGTTTTAGACTAAGTTCAATGGCAACAAATAGAAAAGCATGGCATATACCCACTGAAATAAGCCGAAAACACGGTACACAATAAATATCCATAACTAATAAAGATTTATATAGCAAATCTTTCTTTTAAATATTATATATATATATATATATATATATATATATATATATATATATATATATATATATATATATATATCCAGGTGAAAGTCTATCTATAATTCGATTATATTTTCCCTGGTTGCGTCTGATGTTAATATTTTACAATTTATAGTGATGTTTAGCACTGGGGTATCATGCCGCAGACGTGTAGAATAATGTTCCACCAAATTACATTATCCTGACACCAAGCCGACCAGTCCTAACATTAACCTCTTAATACTGAGCGCCAAGCGAGGCAGCTGTCAGTGTCATTTTTGAAAGTATTTGGTATGATTCAGCCGGAGTTCGAATCCGCGACCTCGGGCATTAGAGGTGGACGCTCTAACCACTAGGCCAACGGACCGGACCGGATGGTTTCTGACTGATCTTTCCATGTGATTATACATAATGACTTTCATTTTTTTAAGTGTTACAATTATCTAGAACAGGCGAAATCATGCTCATTAAACTTTGAAAAATATAGGTGAACCTTTCATCCCAAACGTCATCATTTTACGTAGATAAAGTCCATCTTGAGTTACAAAAATCGAACTTTCTTTTGCCCTTTTGGTCAGAGAAATTTGCAAAAGTCCTTTTAAAAGATCAAACTTAGTGACATATTTATGATACTTCAGACGATATTGTGCTTGAAAGTTTGTACCATCTCGACTATATTGGGGGAACGGAAATGGCATTAAAAGCGAGATATAATGAATATAGAAGACCAAGCTTAAGCTCGTCTGAAGTATCAAATCTACAATGCTTGCCCTGGCCATGCTGTAACTTGGAACTCAGAAAAAAATTCTAGATCGAGAACAAGTCTGATTTGAGCGGGGATGGGTGGCTTGAGGAATCAATCTACATTCGGACGCACAAATCTACATTGAACAGGGACAGGGTCCCTTTCAACTTGCCGCATATCTGGGACAGTCTGTTAACATTGTTCACCATGCAATCGGGTGATGTTAACAGGCAGTAGAGATTAAATCTGCCTGATGATGAAGTTTTTATTGTAGGGATGAAAACTTCAGGTTAGCTTTCTTTATATTGTTTATGTATTTCATTGAAAAGTTAAAACATTGTCAAATATGAATGACAATACTACACAGATAAGCTTTCACCAAGGATACTGACGGAAACATACATATCAATACAAACTAAATTTAATCGTACGGTTCGAAATGGAAACTCTAATGAAAGAATAAAAACATAAGTTTAGTATGCATTTTTATACATCCATTTTGTCTATTGATTAGGTACAAACGTTATATGTCTCTAGAATTTCTTCCAGTTCTTCATTTATCATGATAATATTTTGCATTTAACTTTAAATATCATTAAGTGATCAAGATAAATGGAGCAACAAATGAATATATCTTTGAAATTAATAATCTTCGTCCAACAAAATTATTATATGATACCGTATCAAACCGTGAGTTAGAATGGCATCTTGATTAAATATATCAATATGTCTCCAAAATAAAAATCAAGGTAACTTTCATGATATGCGTCTCTTAATTTTAAGTGCTTGACATCATCTTGCCATAGTTTGTACCGATACGGTGACAGGTGAGTATTTATCATTCCTCGACCTAGCCATTCAAGGCAGCAAAAATGTTCAAAATGAAGATTTATAGCCAGTTACAAAACATCAAAAACTATCAGATGAAACGTGAATACATGAAATGTTCAAGTACAACAAATTTTCAAACAATTTTAAATTCTTAAAAACTGATGTGATAGAGTCTAGATGTTGGCTCAGGCCCGAACAACTGATTTCACTTATTGTCAATGATGACGCCATTCAAATAGGTACTTCGCCTTGTTTATATGGTACAATGAAGCGTGATTCTGAAGGAGGCACGTGTGACTTTACCTGAGTATCCTTAAATGATGTTAAAAATTAAAACAATATTTAATACTTGATGCAGCGTCTTTCAGTGTTATCGTCTCTCAAAAGGATGAGATAGGTACTTTTATTTTCAGCAATATCTTCATTCCTTTCAAGTGCAGGAATGATTTCAGATTTATGACCAGTTATGCCATTCTGTAGCTGCCTCTTTTACAACTACTAACTCTAAGGAATCTGTTGATTCAAATTCAGCCATATACTCCAGAAACTTCTAGATTTGCTTTAATGGATCTTGATTGATCTTGTATTTTTAAAGATCTTTTCAATGTACTTTAAATTTAGCCGAATAAAAATGTACTTATACACCCACATCGAAATGTAACTTACTCCTTCATCGTACAATTGTAACTACCTTACTACCAGACTTGATCCTGCTTTTTCCAACGTTGTCATCATTGTAAGTAATCGGTAATAGTGTGTATTTCTAATGCAGATTCAATATCCATTTTAATGTTTGAAATCAATAAAACAAGAACCTCTTTTATTCTTTTGAAAATATTCTTGGACATATCTATTTGTTTTACAATGCTGCAATAAATGAGGAACTTCTTTGGATACCGACTTTGATGCTTTCATGTTAAACTCGTGAGATATTCCTATTAACACTCTGACACATCTTTAATTTATCATATTGGAACTTTGTTTCCTTATTTATGGTGTGCACAAATATTTCGCATTTGTACCTACACATTCATGGTTGACATATTCATCATCATCTTATTAGCAGAAATCACAAACTCGTGTCTACCGTACAGTGAGTCAATGCTGATCGTGTCTACCGTACAGTGAGTCAATGTTGATCGTGTCTACCTTACAGTGAGTCAATATTGATCGTGTCTACCGTACAGTGAGTCATTGTTGAAATTTTGATCTAGAACTGTATTTTCTAAAATCTTGCGATTTTCTAATTATATATCAAGGTGTCTTCCTATATTTTACGTATACTCCGTAATACTTTACTTGCAAAATGAGATTGTATTACCTGTAGTCCAGTATGATTTCTATTTTGTTTGATTTATTTATGTTCTCTTATCGCGATAGATGTATATATATATATATATATATATATATATATATATATATATATATATATATATATATATATATATATATATATATATATATATATATATATATATATATATAAAACAGCAACGTAAATGAGATTTATTCTCAGAATCGCATTCTATTGTTTTATTGTGAAAATGCAATTGTTAGCAACAGGAAAAAGGCATAAAGGTTTTGACACATTTCTTTGATGCCAATTGGTTTCCTTTAAATTTTCTTTTAATTTTGTATTTAGAAGAATCATTAAAATATAATGCAAGTTTGAAATCGTAGCTACGCAAATATTATTCATCTAATGTAACGAAGGGTTCTTAATGTTACCGATTTATTGTTTTCTGTTTTCTCCCTTTGTTTGTGATCGATATAATTTAAATAACACTGGTCTACCGTCGTTCAAAAGAAGAATATGTACAGCAGAAATTTTATATCTTTCCTGTCTCCAGGTGGGCGAGTTGTCTAAAGTGCTTGCTTTTACGGATCACTGCCATCTTCATGTGAGTTGAAGTTTCAGGCTAATGCAGGGAGGGTTCTTAATGTTACCGATTTACTCTTTTCTGTTTGCTCCCTTTCTTTGTGGTCGATATAACTTAAAGAAAGTACACTGATTTATGTCCTAGAAAAGAAGAATACGAACGGCAGAAATTTTATAATATCTTTCCTGTCTCCAGGTGGCCGAGTGGTCTAAAGTGCTTGCCTTTATCGATCACTGCCATCTTTAAGTGGGTTCTAGTATAAGGCTTGCCAGTATCTTCCGGTGGGTAAGTGGTTCTTATCTAAGGTTTTCCTCCACAAGTTATACAGGTTACCGTGTATGGCTATGGCGTTAACCCACAATAATAACAAATACGACAATTCTGTCCTGTCTTTAACATATAGAAATGTTCGTGTTTATTGATTTATCTTTGGCTTACATTATTTAATATTTGGCCTCTGTATTTACATACGATGCTAAATCTATTTCAAGATAAGATCCGAAATAAATTCTCTTTATTCATTCTAAATGCAATTGTAAACAGAACACATTGTCCGCTGGTAACAGCATCAACCAAGCGAAATATTTGTTTAGCATATATTTGATTTTATTTTGAAGTTCATTTATGTATATTGTTTATTAATCGACTCCAAATTTGTTTCCATCAAAGGGATCTTAGGTCAAAGAGATCTTTTGGGTATTAGTGGCGACGCAAATGTTTATAAAGATAAGTTTTCCAGATCATGAATTTCATTGAGTCGTAAATGTTATAGGAAGATATGAGCTTGTGAAGTTTGCAGCTTGTTGGTAGCAAAACAACATAAATAATTTTCGACTTAGAAGGCACCTTTGAAATGCAATGATAATAATTCAACCCTAATCACTGACCGCGTAAAGATAAGATGAACTTAGATAACCTTTCTAACTTTTCAGAAGTCATTTGCTATTTTTCAGACCCACATTTGAAGTACTCATTATTCGTACAAATCAATGATATTACTCCATTATAAAATGACAAATGAACAAAGTTACCATAATTTAGAGCTTAAATTTACACAAAATAGCCATTACGTACCCAAAATGTAAAGATGTTCATCCATTTGGTGTTTGAGATTTTGAAATTTACTGATATCTTGCATGTTGTGGTCGAGAAAGCAAGAAACGATTCGTAACCGCAGGACATATGTAGATAACCTGCTATTAGAGTATATTATTGAAAGTAATACCATCATTTTGTTGTTGCTCTGTGTGTGTGTGTGTGTGTGTGCATGTGTATGTGTGTCTGTGTCTATCTATCTGTCTGCGTGTGAATGTGTGTGCGATATAGTGTAATAAACTGAAAGCAAACACAGCAAAACTAGTTACTGACATGCCTAAGAAATCTCGACTCCAACTGTGTCTCAGTCAAAGGCAACACAAAACATTAACTTTAAGTTTTGTAAATTGGTATAACAGTAAAGTATATCCAGGATATATTATAATTTTTGTAGTAATCATTGGGAAGTAATAGAATAGCGAGCAAAAGGAAATTTAAAAAAAGAAACATTTAAATGTAAATGTGCTGGCCGTAAAAATGATGGTGATTTTATTTGTTCGTAGAAGTCTTTTATGTGTTTTTGATTCAGGCTACTGGGTTGCAGTTATAAAAGCGATGTATCTAGTAAGCTTCATATTCTCCCTGCATTCGGAACTCCATTTGGGGTTGAGAGCAATTGCAATTTGTGCCACATGACTGAAGGCGTGGCAAAAAGAGTTCTGAAACTGAGCTTCTGTCCAACATTGTATTGATCTGATAAGATCTAAGACGATTTATTATTTATTATTTTCATTTATTCCGACGTACTGAAGGCTACAGATCCTACAAATGATGTGATATATTGCATTCTGTTTTCCACGTTATGTTAGTTGACTA